GCCAAAAACCCACTATTTTGTATAAAAAATCAGATCATATGAAAAATTTGATATAAGTAATGTACCGGCATTATTATTTAGGTCATTTCCAACATCTAAGTTGGCTTCCAGATGTTGCCCATTTTGCCTATTTACTGGAATCATATATTTTTTTTCAGTTTAAATTAAATTAATGGTGGGATCCATTATCTTTAGTAATTTTGAACGAATGAACAAGGCGGGAGTAATCAAAGTCAGATGTATCCATAGTGTGTAAAAAACATGGATGACGCATTTGAGGGAACCGCCGAGCTGATCTGACCACTGCCATGACAGGTGCACATGCGCACACATGACTTCCAGAAAAGAATGGAACCGTCATGATTTCAGAGGTCCACTTCGAGTCTGACTCGTACACGCCCCTCTCACATGCAGCCTGTTATATACAACTTCTTTTGATAATATAAACCAGAATTTGAGAATGACTTCTCTGTATTTGATCATTGGCAGCGTACATGATCTTTCTCATGATGTGAGAAGTCAGCTCTGTTCAGTGTGTCTGTCAATCATAGTTGTCTAGTCCCGCCTAGTTCTTTTAGGGGAGAATTGAGCCATGGTGAACTGTTTGTGTAAATAACAATTGCCGAGGATAGAATCTTTAAAGTTCAGCTTTTCTCATAGACTTGTATTGGGTGGAAATCATTCTGCAGTCAGCTCCAGAGCGCCACGGTTTGGCTTCACTCCATTCGCATGTAAGACAGACTTGGATACATCATGTTTGGGTGAACTATCTCTAGAAGAAAACACATCATCTATCAGTCTTCTTTGTTTGACATGTTGTAAAACATAAGCTGAAGTATTTAAAAACCTGATTTCCATTTCCCATGCGTCTTTCATCCATACATTTTGCTTCTTAGATTTAATTTTTGCTTCATCAGCATGAACAAATTGAAGCTGAAAAGAAGATTGAAAAAAAAGAGCACTTACGTCTGTCCTCTCACACATATTCACACAATCCCCACAATCCCAGTGTGGTTAATGGGGTCGAAGCATATATATGTAAATACAACTCCTCTTCCATCTTGTTCTAAAGAAGGTTTCTTTCTCTCCATCTCCTTGTCCAAAGCTCAGTCAGGAATGGCAGTCTCATTAAACAGTCATTTGGCTCCTGTAGGCTGGAATTTCGTCCTCTGAAAAGTCGGTAATTGAAATGCCCAAGCTCTGTGACCTTGGGATGTTAATCCATGGCTGTAACATTTATCTCCTTCTCGGCAGCCTTCTACCTTCTGTCTCCTAATCAAACACTTTGGAGAAATCCGGACATCAATCATGTCGCTTCTGTCATGCAAATTGGATTTATGAGGGGTATCAGGGGAGCGATGTTGTTTTAAATGTTTACAGCCTGTGTATGTGAACAAGAATGTGGATGTGGCCCCACACAATCATTATTATCCACGGATATTTCCCATAGAGAAGGAACATCTGGAGTTGGCCAGAAAGAGTTCCATCCAGATGCTGCAGTGTTTTTATTCTGTTCATAGAATTGATTAGAAAATGTTAAATGATATCTGTGAAAAAATTAAAAGGGTTGTTGTAAAGCTGACATCTGAAATGCAAATAAAAAAGTGGACATTTCTAGACATTTATAAATGTATCTTTAGAATTTATTTTTTTATTTGTATATTGACAGAACTCCATGTTGATATAAACTCCAGTGTTCTTCTGTGTCTCTCCTTTCTCCCATTTAAATTATTGCTGTCTTCAAACTGCACAATTTTCAGAGTAGTCTAGTCACAGATCTTTTCACACTGTATGTCTGGAGCAGCATATTGCACAATAGATCATGGACAGGGAGTTCACACTGCATGAATCACTACGGTGGCCCATTAGTGCACAACACAAATCAACTTTGTTTCTAATGCTAATGCAAATAAAAAACCCTTTTTTTATGCAGACCCACTTTTTTAAGATTAAATAACAGAAACATATGTTTTCAAGCAAGTTTGAAAGTGACTGATTTTTGAGAGATCTCCTGGAAGGGTGCTCCACAAGAGTGCCGTGGGAGCTGCACAGCCCACAGACCCCTGGCACTCCATAGGCTACACATGTCGCTCTAGACTGATCTGTTTTAAGATCACTCTAAAAACTGTGTATGATCAGCCAAATAGGAACCGAACCATGCCAATATGCATCCTGAGAGACCAATCTCTTTTAAACAAGCCAACTTGGTGTGGTGGGTCACTGTCTGTGAATCCAAGACACTAAAAAGGATACTAAGACTAGTTTCTAAAGGTCATTTGTGATTTTTGAAATATCACCTTCCATACTAGTTTGTGGTCTGAAACCAGGCTTTAATTGTTACTCTGTAGAAGATAATGAAGTTGGATACTTAGAGTTTTTTTTTTTTCTAAGATTTTTGCAGAGAAGAGATAAGTGAAGATGGGGTGGACCATTTTTCCTGTTTCCTTAATCAGCATTTGTTTTCAAAAAGAGAGGAAGTAGATTTCATGAATAATGCAAGTTGTAAAACTAATCACAGAGAAGATTCCAGACTTTACCGGATTACAGGTTTAGATCTTGAGATAATTGGGCCAATATGTATGTGGCAAAAGTACTAGAGAGTAGTGAGAAAAAAAATCAATAGTGAAAGTAGTGCAAACCAACTTAAAAGATTGTTTCTGTTTCCATTTCTGGAAGAATTGGTTCAACTTTGTTTGTAGAACAATGAGAAAAATGACCTCAAGTGATATATTCTAGATTTTCAGATGATTCAGATTTATATATAGTGACAAATCTCGATCATTCACACAACTGTGTGTCTGTGGTACCGTCAAAAAGAGTAAGGACCATACAGTGGTTTAAAGGCTTCACACAGTTTCCAGTGAGTCAAACTCACAGATACCCACCAACACACATAGTACAGAAACCTTTTTACACATTGCACATTTTTACACTTTTCACACAAATCACAGTTGAACTAAACAAGCACAGAAGTCTTATTACAAAAACCTATAAAATATATAGTCACCGCCACTTGATTGGGTATGCCTCTCTAGTGCTGGACCCTCTTTCGCCTTCAGAGCTGCCTTAATCTTTCATGGTGTAGACTCAAAAGGGTACTGAAAACACTCCTCAGATAGTTTCCTCAGTTGTTGCATATTTGTCAGCTGCACATCCATGATGCAAATTTCCCGTTCCATTAAATCTCAAAGGATCTCTACTGACTTGAGGTCTGGTGACGGTGCAAGCCATTTGAATACAGTGAACTCATTGTCATGTTCGGAAAACCAGTCAGAGATGATTATCTCTTTATGATATGGTGCTTTATCCTGCTGGACGCAGCCATCAGAAGGTGGCAGTAACATGGTCAGCAACATTACCCTGGTAGCCTGGCATAGACACAACGCTCAATTAGAAAATATCAATTACACCATAAGACCACCACCACCAACTTGAACCATTGATACAAAACTAGTTGGAAATATGGTTTAGTTTATATGTATATAAATATAAACTAAACCATTTCATTTGTATTTCAAATGTCTGAAGTGTAGGAAAATCCAATTGGGAGTAGCAATAGGATTTTGGTATAAGTAGAAAAGAGAAAAAGGAGGGGTGGAAAGGGGTTGTTATCACTGTTGTGGTCTGATCCTCATTGGCAATCAGTCACTGATTAGTGATTGTTCAACAATGGCATTGTTATCCAACAGCCCGATCCACGTAATCACTGGATCTAACAATATAAATCAGTTGCATTAACATAATACCCAATTCACTCATTATTGCCCGGTAATTGTACTACTATCTCTTGCTACATGTCGGCACATTTATTCCCGATCATTGATTCAATGACATGAAAAGGCTTGTCTGCCATCGTGACTATCTGATGCTTGTCTCTGTATTTTGCTCCGATTCCGCTAACATTGTAGGGATGGAAGAAACGGCAGAGCAAATGTTCCTTTACCAAAAGCCTGTTATCCTAGCAAAATCTTAATGTGCTTTGATGTAAGGTTTCATGTTTATGTATTCGCAATGTGAGTACTTTTTTTTCTCAGTAATTAAGTAAGTAATTCTTGCAAATAAATATTAATTAACCAATCAATCTATTCATTAATAAAAATGGTAACAAAGGTTTTTATATCGGCCAATCTACTTTACACAATCTCAGATGACATCTGTCATGTGCATAAATCTCTTGATTGGTGTTTAATTGCACGTGATCAGTTTGCATGGCTGGCATTATTTGCAAGAAATCCACTTGAATACATATATTTTATGATAATATTTTATATTTTAAAATAAGAGTATTCTTGATTATTTTTAAACTGATATTAATGCAGCTAGATTCATTTTTTTGTTTTGTTTTAATTCACCCAAATTAAACACAAGAAACTTGAATTCTGAGGTGGCAAAGATTGTGCGACAAGTTCATTTTGTCACGACCTCAGAGTTTGCTGAAAAAAAACAGCAGGTGTTTTGCTTTGAAGATTTTACAGAGGTCGTGAGGCATATTCTGACGGTATATAAAACACAAAATACTTCTTAGAAACAGAAATTTCTCTAACAATCCCCTGAGAAACTAGGCTCGCATGAATAGGGCTTTGTAGTTTTCAAAATAATTTTAAGTAAAAATTGGTAGAGTAAATATTCTGCGGTTTTAGCTGGGGATATAGTATGCTTAGGCTTATAGTATACTTAGGCCAATCCGGCATGCTTTGCAAAGTTTGGAGACCACTTTCATAAAAGAAATCAATGGGCCAAAAACAACCATGAACAGAACGAAGCAAATGTAAAAAAAAATATATTGTTATTTATCTTTCAGTCTCGGATTGCAAAGAGGTGAAAGATCAGATCAGACTCAATACAAATTCAATATAGAGTAACCGATTACTGAGGTTCAACTTTTCTTAATCGAGAGTAGACGATGCGTATCATTTACATTACGTGTATGCATTGGGAAGACACATTTAACCAAAGCCACTTACATTTCATGGAACTAACACTTTTTTTTTAAGTTATGCTTTTCCTGGGGTTTGAACCTGCAACCTGTGTGTTGCTAGTGCAGTGCTCTACAGACTGAGCCATAGGAAAGCAATCACCGCAGTAGCGTTCAAACCTGGAACTGTACCAGGAAATCAAAGCGGAAGATTCCGCAAAGAAACAAGGAAACTCTGAACCGTGAGGTGCTGTAAAGTCAAGACGGTGAAACGCCAGAATCTGAAGTAGTAGGTAAGGAATCCAGAACTACTCAGGAGAGTCAACAGGTCGTGAGTCATAGATCTGGCGATCATTTGGGTGCTGGGAGAAGTCTTTTGAAGGGAGGTGAGAAACTGGCCGTTGTGATTGGATGTTGGTTTCCGTGATTCAGTGGTTGTGGAATGGGTGAGTGATTAGAGATTGATGACTGGATTTGTCTTGTTGGACTTAACAAAAACAATAAAAAACATTCAGTCATTTGATGTTAACAGATTAATGAAAAATATATATTTTTTAAGTTTTTACAAAATGTTGCAATGTCATTGTCATTACATCTAATAATAACATCTGAAATCACATCTGAAACACAGAAAAAGTTGTGGCCAAATGAAAGACTTTAAACCCCAGATATATTCACAAAACAACAGTATTTTTATTTATTTGCTCCTCGTGACTTGTAGCGTATCTGACCAATCACAGTGCAGCTCACAAAAAAGAACATAGAGGTCTTGTTAACCAACTTTGTTACTGCCACAGTTTTTATGACAAGAAAGACAAAGACAATGAGAGAGAAGCAGAGAAAAAGGGAATGAGGGAAAGGCAGATAGAGGTTGAGTCTTGGTGTAGGTGCAAGAAAGAAAGATTAATGTGTCAAATATAGAGTTGATTAAGCAGGTAATATGTCTTGCGGTCCGTAATGCAGATTAATCATCAAAAGGTATCAAAATCATAAAGGAAATAAATAAATATAGTGGCATCCTTAAATGCTATTTATTGGGAAATATTAATGACTGCGGCCTCTACAAAGGGATGAAATGGATTGGATGAGGAGGCATTCTTTGTGAAATTACGTTAAGAAATGACCCTAATCTGTTCCTTTTCAGTTCATCGTTCTTTGGGGATTACTCATTCTGTCTGGTTCTAAAGCACAGTGTTTAGAAAGCTTAGAGTTTACTGAAGCACAGAGGAGCCACTGCTAAAAAATGCAGTAGATCATGGGATGAAGTATTTTTTTTTAATTGTGTCTGGTTCATTAGAGCAGGCGCCACACTTTTATATGAAGTGAAATTCTTGAATATTAGATTAACTATATTAAAATACTATACAAGCCAATAAAAACGGGTATATTTTGGACATAAAGCTTCTAACTCTTAACGAACCCCTCGGATATTCTGTAGACCCCCCCATCCCCCGAATGTAAAAAGGTGTCTTCTCTCTCATCTGAGTGTGATGGACTGCAGAGAGGCATTATGGGGTAGCATAGTTTCATAATTTAAAGGCACATAATAGGTAAGAAGATTAGAAGAAAGTGAAAAGGATACCAGGTTAATGTTGTAGGTACATGTGCCACTAAAATGAAAATGAAAATGAAAATGAAATGAAGAAACTTGGATGGGTTTCCATAACAGATAAAGGTCACCAGTAAGTCTGTGTTTACTGTATATTTAAATTTAGCACATTTAATAGAAAAAGTGAGAAGCATAGCTGTAGAAAAGCTTATTTAAAGTGATGTCGGTACATCAGAAAAAAAAAGTTTTTGTTTTAGGATAACTGGTATTAGCATGTAGATGCCAATACCTTGTCAGTTTTTGAAATAGATTTTTGTTGTTGTTAAGATTATTTTGGGGGATTTTTTGTCTTAAGAGTAGTAAGAAGAGTGGGTAGAGAGAGGGGGAAAGATAGCAAATGATGGCATACATCACCCTGCACAACCATGCTCATATGTCCAATGCACTGTTCACTATACCGTAGAGCCGGATTACCATCTTTTCCAAATGATTACCATTTAACAAATAAATCTGAAAAGCTCCCAAAAGTACAGGTGGGGAGGATAACATATTTTTTCAAATAGTTTCTGTTCCCTTACAAAAATAGATTTACTGTCATGACTACAAAGGAGGAGGAAGATTGGATCAGACTATGTATATATAGATTCATTGCAGACTTTATAAAGACTTTTTTGTTTTTCAAGAGCCAACAAAGCATACCACCACAAGTGTTCAAAAGAGAATCACTAATGGGGCATCAATGACGTCGGTGAACAGCGGGTTGCTGACATGAAGTGATCAAGGAGATGAGGGTCGATGAAGATCAGGAAATCCGAGTGCATATTTCACGATTTGAGTATACCAGAGGTTCCAGGGAAATCCTGGAATCTCAAGTCGCAGGTAAGGAATCCAGGCTGCCTAAAACTCAAGAGAGTCAGCAGGTTAAGATCTGAGTCTTTTGAATTGTGGGTAGAGTTGGGTTATTTCTATATTGTTCGTGATTTCTGATTTCCTGTTTGATGAGACATTTCTCAGGACAATTCATTATATAGCATCTAAATTATACGAGTTATGCGTATATAACATCTAAATTATACGAATCTACGTTAAAGCAATACTGACATCCAAAAAAATGTACGTTTGTTTCAAATTGAGTGATCAAAAAAGCACATGGCGACGCTCCTCGCAGTTGAACTGTCCATCGTAGCATAATCTGGAATTACACATAAGCAGCAGCTTTCGCATCACCACATGTGATCCTATTCAAGTCAAAGAATTTTTTTTCATAGTGTGATAACTCTTGACCAGTAACTCCCTAATAAAGTTGCAAGACTTGCACATTAGTTAGGAATCCAAAATGGTTTCCAAGTGTTTATCGTGGTGCAAAGGTGCTGAGATGGTACATGGCTTTCCCCATTTTAAACTCAGAGCTCTGGCTTTGAGCGATTGGTTGGGCACCAGTAACCGACACGCCGAAACTATGGATTTGTAGCAAGCATTTTGCTTGAGAAAGCTATGAGAGCTGGAGAATGGTGGATTTGTGCGTTTGGATGTTATCATTGGTCAGGCAGATGAGACCTGAAACAGACGGAGCTCATGGCCGTTAAAGTTGTGCTCAGAGATATATGGAAAGAATTTCAATATGACATGAATGCTTCCTTCCTTCTTCTGACTTCTAAAGCAAATTATAAATGGAGAAATAATGGTAAAATCCAGTCCTTTTCTAAAAAAAAATTCCCATTAGTGAATTAATTAATTAATCAATAGATATATCAATGGTCTGGCTCAAGAAGCTCAAATTGTACGCCATGCGGCACACGAGCTGAAATGTTCTATATTTGAAACCAGACTTGCAATAATATCTACAGCCGTAGTCTGTTTGTACATTTTATGAAAAATGCATGTGATACAAAATGGAATCAGTTTAGAGTCTCCTTACATGCAGTCAAGGTGACATTCGGTGGAATTAATTAAGCTCCAGTTTGCAATAGTTTGAACTCTGACCTAAGTCCATTCCAGCAAGAACTGACAATGTATTAAAAGCAACTCTGAGGTCACTGTAACCTGGGTATCCTCATGCATTTAATATTGAGTACTAAATAAAGACCTCCAGATGTACATTTATCACAGTTCGCCATAAACATCTCCCGCCTCTCATAACTCCATGTGATCTCGGAGGTTTACAAACTGTCTTGCATGCTACAGGAGTGTTCTTAGAATACCCTTGTGGCCTTGAATCAATACACACGCCAACACAGCCGAGCGATAAAAAACATTCTGACCCCGCAGGTTTTGAAGGCTGAAGTGAGATAAGGACAATGTACTGGTTACACTGTGGTCAAAGTGAACTTACTACGCCTCGTTTCTTTTGTATCCATTTAGTCCCCAAAACTTTTTACTGTGAGGGCCACAATTATTTCTTTCTTTAATCAGGGGTCAGATTAAATCGAGGAAGACAATAAAGAAGCACAAGAGTGAAACCGCAGGAACACACAAAAATAATCAAAGACTGATATCTGTGATGTAGTATATTAAGTACAAATATAATTAATATACTACTATCTGGCATATTTTCAGTGACTCAAAGAGACATATGTGAGCTAAAACCAACTTCTGTAGGTGTTTTTTCTGTTAAAAAATCAAAAAAAAGTACTTTCACAGATGCTCAAAAACATCTTTTGATTTGAAAGAAGAAGTGATGAGTCTGAAATTAATAAATGTAATTATCATACTCGTTACGTGTATATAATGGTTAAACAAAGATGTCATTTTCCCACTGGGCCATGCGTCCTTCACCGAGGCTGTGTCGCAAAACAATTGGACTCAAGTGTGATACCCAAGACTTACTAGATGACAAGTTTCCATTGACGTAAAGATTTTGCCTGACATTTGATTTCCTGAAATGCTCATGTTCCTGGATACAACACCTGCAAAGTACAAAGCTCAAAGGAGCACAAAGCCTCAACGGCCTTTCATACTTTAAAGTTGGATTTGTCTGGGTCATTAAAGTAATCTATGGTGATTCTGATTATTTGTGGACTGATACTGTAGCGGGTGGTGAGACACGGACACACATGCTTTGGTTGATGCCGTACACAGCGTGTTTACTAAAACTATGGTATTACTAAAAGTATGTTATTACTTAACAAGTAATTAAAACATAGAGTCACTTGTCTGCTTGGGAGGGAGTCACCCGGATGCCCTCACCACAATCGATCCGTTGGCGTTTGGATTCCTCGACTGGAGGTGCGGGATCCCAGCGTATGGTTCCTTCTGCAATTCCCTGTTGGCAGGCCCAATACTCTCTCGGGGAGTAATTTCCCTAATGGCAGGTCCGGCAATGCTGCAATCCTAGCGACGGTAGGCTCTTCAAAGTAGTACAATACTGGTGCACTGTAAATAGTTTTGTAGTAACTACTTTCGGATTTATATTATTATATATTTATGAATATAAATCCTGTTCTGAAGTTTCACCACAGTAAAAATGTAATTTTTGTAATCTATTGCACTGGATATTCATGAGAATTGTCTAATACAAAGCTATCTATTGTCTAATACAAAGATCTATGAATCTTTAAAGCACAAATCTTTGGATGGCTTCTCAGCAGGGTGCTCTTCATCTAGGTC